TTATGTTTCAAAATATACACATGTAGATATACAGCTAACTTTGCCGTTGTGCATCTAACTATATAAGTTGCAAAAAATATCATATTGAATTTTTTTCCTATTATATTGTGGATAGCTGTATATATGACCACACTTACGTAAATCTCCCGATTCTCCGGCAATATTTTTTCCTCTATCGCTTTTAGACTTTCTTCACTTCAAAGTGGGAAAAGCTCTGCGTTTGGCGCTCCCAATGACTCCTGGCGAATTAGCTTTTGCGTGACGATTTTCTGTTCTGCCAGAGCAGTCATTACAGCTTTATTATAGGCAAGTTGAGTTTCTGAAATTAATAATGATTTGTTATATATTCTTGTGGAATATAAAGCGCTTCTTACGTCCAACTTTTTACAACCAAATGATTTTAACTTCCCGATATCCTCTAAAATGAGATATACATACGTATGCTTAATGTTATTTCTTACATACTTCTGATATGTACAATGTACATTGTACATATATGTAGTTATAACGCTGCAGTTACAGTTAGAGATGGAACCTCTGGGATCACCGTCTATAATAAAAAATACAGGCTGTTTGTTAATAACATAATTATTGRCAGTAGTGGTATGTACTTACTTTGTGGTTGAATATTTTCAGCCCATCTCTCATTCATTTTTAATTTTTTAAAAGACGTTTGGTATTTTCTGAACGCGTTTAAATACATATTTTTGTGCATACCTTTTTAAAGTGTTAATGTTATATTTATTTGTATTATTAAAAATTTATTATTACAAACATCCATACAAAATTGGAAGCATGAGTAAGCGGTCTTTATGAGGTAAACCTAACAATTTGCATTCTATTTCGTCTACAGAAAACGACATTTCTTCTTCTATTGGAGTTAAGTCTACTAAACATATTCCTATAGTTGTTGAATCTAGAGGTTCAGGGAAAAAAGTTTCTAAATTTATAAACTTCTTTCCTACGACTAAACCGCCATTCTCTTTTTTAAAACCCGTTATTTCTATAGGAGTATACGGCTTTATTACACAATAATTTTCAAGGTGTTTCGAACTAAAAATACAGTTATTGTGATAGTACTGAAACGTTCTATTTTTAAGTAATTTTAAACCAACACATACAGGTTTTGWCACCAAATTCTCGAGTGAAATTCTATTAAAAAGTTGTTGTAGCACATGCGTTGGTTCTTTACATATTTTTTTAGGGTTTGCAAATAGTTTTCGAAAGCATATGCAGATCAGCCAGATAAAAAGCCTATTGCTTTAATATTTTCTGGTAAGTGAAGCAGGTGATGAATATTGTATGTCAAGCTCGCTTCTCCGAATACGATGGGGAAGTTTTGAACAATTAAATACAATAAATGTTTAGCTATATTAATATTCGCAAGGTAGGTTTTAGGGCAATGTAATATCCCACAAGTAGAGTGGATAAGCAAAAATTGATAATATAGATCATCTGGCACATAATCCTTTAAAACTGAAATTCCTGTGTAGAGAAGAAATTGGCGAAATTTACTTGGTTTCCAATTAAATATTTCTTCGAAACCGCTAGGTTTTCTAGCAAATTCTTTGGGAATAAACGGCTTCAAGTCCTTTAAGCTCTTTGAAATAATGTCTTTATTGCCTTTAGTCACCCTCATATTAGTTTTATCATTTAAAATTCTCTGTAAAAATTTGCGCATTACCCCTAAGTCAAGAAGGTGCATGCTATCTATGTTATATGAATCATTTTTACGCCAATTGATTCCAATGGCTTTTCTTTATTCCTATATTTTGGTAAATGATGATTTCCATATACTCTGTTAGTAAAATCGTCAT